CCTCTCCTTCTGCCTCGCCGAAAAAAATGGCAGAAGACGAAACAGTAGACGGAGACGAAGGATAAGAAGTTTCTAGTCAGAAAGTTGTGAAAAGTTCTGAGATCCAACAAGATGTGGTTTGTAGTGGCGAAGTTTCAGCAGTGGCCGTTCCAAGCTTTGATTTGAATATTTCCGATCCTATAGGTAATGCTCCTCTTGTATCCTCTGATTCTATTTTGGGGGTAAATGAGAAAGAACCCATTGAGAACATTTTACTAGTTGCTGCAGAGGGAGGTTCTGTTGGTGGTTATGAGGGTGATAATGAGACCATTGGGTCTTAGGGGGAAGGTGAACGTCACAAAGTTGAAGGTGGGGACCTGGTGGTTGAAAGTGGGGAACCGGTTCCCTTTGAAACTTGGAACCGGGCAGTACTAGTAAGAAAACAACAGAGGGATCTGATCCCCCTGCCCAAGAAGAGCATTCTTCTCCTACTTGGGATGAAACCTCTTGCTCCTCAAAAGAGCCCCAGGTCAGTAGTGATCCTGCTCCTTCTCCTCACTTCGATGGTGAGCCGTTGAACCGTTGAACTTTGTCATTTCTGAGATGAGATCTCTGTCTAAAGAAGAAAATGAAAATAGTGAGAAAGACTATGACAATGTGACTGTGGCAAGATTCATTACTGCCAGAAGTGGTAGGGCAGTTCCCAAAAAGCCCATTCTCAAAAGATCCACCACTAGGCTGCAAAAGAAAGAAGCTTATGAGTCTGTTCTGAAGCAAAACAAAAAGGAAAAGAGAAAAATAAGGTTGGTGAAAGGGGGAAAGCCAATCAATGAGGAGGACGTGCCTCCTGCACATATTGTTCATGTTAATGATGAAGAGGTGAATGAGGAACCTGCTTCCTTAGTTCATAAATCTTCCTCTAAGAAACCTGTGATTCCAAGACCTAGGAGAGGGTCATCTGTAAAATCTGTAGAGGAGAAAAGTGTTGAGGGAGAGAAGTCTAGTGAAACATCTTCTAAGAAGTCTGAAAAGAAGGAAGAAACTGTGAGGAAGTCTGTGAAAAGTAAGGCCAGTGACAACGAGGAACCTGGTTCTTCCAAGAAGGCCAAAGTGACTCTCAAGGTATATGAGGAAAAGGTGAGTAGCTTCTACGCAGATATGTTTACAATGGAAGATGATAACATTTTCTTGAAGGTCAATGGTATAGATTTTGTGATGGACGAGGCAGTGCTAGGGAGTATCTTGGGAATGCCTACAGAAGGGATCTCATCCATTGAGGGGACATGTTCTCCTAACTTCTGAAGTGCCATTCTGAAAGATGATGTTGTGCAGCAGGGGGAACGGGTGCACAAGAAGGCCCTTCCTCCAGTGTATCAACTTGTGTTTGAGATGGTGAATAAGGTCTTGCTTCCACACGCAGAAAGGAATTCTATTACTTCAAAAGCAGACCTATTCCTCGTGAAATCACTGGATGCCTACACCACCATCAATCTGCCTGGTCTTATGATTGAGCATATGAAAAAAGTGGCAGACTTCAAGGACGGCAATCATGGCTTGCCTTATGGTTTCCTCCTCACTAAAGTGCTTAACTTCTTCAAAGTCCCTTTGGGAAGAGCAGCAGTGGTAACTCGCAAACAAACCTTCTCGAAGACAACCTTGGAGGAATGTGAGTGTATTGACAGAAAATAGGGTGTTGGCAGAAATTCCACTATCTCCCAATTGATTGATGCTCAGAATGCTGCCAATAAGGAGATAAGGAGGTTGAAATCACGGAATACCATTCTTGAAGGGCAGCTTAGTCAGGCCAATGAGGCCCCCGGTTCCAGCAATGCACAAGGCACAGAGGTTGCTCGGCTGATCAAAGAACGGCTGCTTACAAACAAGTGCCTGCAAATGCTCGAATGAATATTCTCTTCAGAACCCTTTCCTCCTCATCCCTGCCTCCCCCTTCTAGTGCTCCTGAAAACAGTCCCCTTCCCAGTGTCCAGTTGAATGATGTCTGTCCTGCCTTAGTCTCTATTTTGTTGTTTCTATGACTAGTACTTTTAAGTTGTTTTTTTTGTGAATGGTTGTGTAACAATGGTACTACTATTTCTGTTCTCTTCGCTTTCAAATTAATGAGCATCTCATCTCATCTCAGAACCTCACTTACGGCTACATTAGACACGGCCAGGTAGACGAGGAGGCGCTCTCCAGCTTCCACCTTGGCGAGTACTGGAGGTGAAGATAGGTACGCCTTTAATTCCTTCAAGGCTTCGACGCACTCGGAATTCCATTGGAGTCCGTGGTCTTTCTTGAGTACGCCGAAGAATTTATGGCACCTATCGGAGGATCTTGAGATGAACCTCAAAAAATTTATGGCACCTTCTGGTATTCCTTCTATAGCTTTGATTTTGTCGGGGTTGACCTCGATGCCTCGTTGTGATACTAAGAAGCCGAGGAACTTTCCCGAGGTTACTCCGAAGGCACACTTCTCGGGGTTTAATTTCATACCATATCGTCTAAGTATGTTGAAGACCTCTTTTAAGTGGTCGATGTGATCCTCCTTCCTTTTTTATTTGACCAACATGTCATCGATGTAGACTTACATGGTTTTACCGAGCTGGTCTTTGAACATTTTTGTCACCAACCTCTAGTACGTCGCCCTGCATTTTTCTGTCCGAAAGGCATCACTCTGTAGCAGTACGTTCCCTGATGAGTGATGAAGGTGGTCTTCTTCTGGTATTCCTCTTCCATGAGGATCTGATTATAGCCCGAGTACGCGTCTAGGAAGCTGAGCAACTTGTGCCCGGCCGTCACATCAATGAGTTGGTCGATATGAGGAAGCAGGAATGAATCTTTTAGACAGGCTTTGTTCAGTTCTGTAAAGTCCATGCACATCCGCCACTTCCCGCTCTTCTTTTTCACCATGACCATGTTGGAGACCCATTGAGGATATTTTGACTCCCTGATGGAGCCATTTTCCAACAACTTCTCTACCTTCTCGCCTACTGCATCGTTTATGGCGGCATTAAATTTCTGCTTGATTTGTCTCACCGGGGGTTGGAATGGGTCGACGTTCAACTTATGTGTTGCTGTCTCTTTTGGAATACCCGGCATGTCTGCATGGGAAAAAGCAAACATGTCTACGTTATTTTTTGAGAAGTGATGGAATTTACCTGGTTCTTGGTGCTTGTGACCGATGAAAGCTTTCTTGCTGTGGTCGTTATCATCAAGTCGGACGGGGTCGACATCCTCTATGGTCGACCCTGTGGCTTCTATGATTTCGGGATCCCTGATAACGTCTTGCCCTTCACTGCTGACTGACCCCGACCTCGTTAAATGCTATGCGGCCTCGGCTTTGCCCTTTAGTTATTGGGTATGTGTGCAGTCTTGGGCGAAGCGGTAGCATTCTCGAGAAGTGCGTTGCTCCCCTCGGATGTTGAATACCCTCCGGGGGGTGGGAAATTTGATGACCTGGTATAAGCTGGAGGGGACGGCTTTCATGGTGTGTATCCAAGATCGACCTATGATGGCGTTGTACGCCGTATCCTGGTCCATGATGTGGAATGTGGTTTCCAAAGTGACGCCGCCGTCTAGGACGGGTAGCGTGATTTCTCCAGATGTCCGCTCAACTGCATTGTTAAAACTCGTTAGTGTGATGTAGTGTGGCACTATCCTATCCTCGAGCTTCATTTTTGCGAGAACTCGAGGGTGGATGATGCACGCGCCACTCCAATCATCGATCATAATACGTTTTACATCGGTATCTAAGATGCCTAAAGTAATGACAAGGGCGTCATAGTGAGGAAAAACCAAACCGTGGGTATCCGACTTATCGAAGATGATACTTTCTTCGAGTTCCTCATACCATTATGAGTGATTGACCGTTTGAGTATGTGGGTGGTGGTGAACTTCATGCTGTTGATTGATGCGTCGTCGCCCCCTCTGATGATCATTTGAATGGTTCGAGCTAGGGAAGGTGGTTTGGGTGGTCCCTGGTGCTGTTCACGTCCTCGGGCGAAGTTGGCTCTTCCTCGGTCGCTCATCAGCTCTTTCAAGTGCTCTTGGTGAAGCATGTTCATGACCTCTTGTCTTAGGGAAATACAGTCCTCGGTTTTGTGACCCGCTCCTGGTGGAATTCGCAGAGGGCATTTGACTTTCTGGTGCTCGGGTCGGACCTCTTCTTCTGCGGCCACTTCACTTTTTGGCCGAGCTTCTCCAGTGCGTAGACTATTTCTGAGGGGGAAACACAGAAATTGTGATAAGATAATAAATTGGAATACCTCTCTCACTTCAGTGAGTTCTCGTTTGTGGCCTGGATGGGCCTTCGCTGTGGCGTGGAAGTGGCATGAGGGTGCCTCTGACGTAAGGCTGATGTCTTTCCCGATTTGGTCGGGGTCCCGCTAGATCTCTCCTGTTGTCATTTCTCCGGTCCTTCCTGGACTCGGCTTGTACCGAAGTTAGCCGTTGGGTCGGCCCATTTAGATCACCTTCGTCGGCTCAAACCTCGGCGCCATAAGCATTGTGTATCTCGTCCCAAGTGGTCGGGGAATATTTCATGAGGCGGCTTAATAGCTTTCTGGTCGCCCTCGAACTGCTTCTTTTCAGCCCGTTTTGGAAGGCTGCCACGGCTATTCCTTCTGATACGTTTGGTAAGGTCATCCTTACTCGGTTAAATCGCGCGAGGAAGTCCCTTTGTCCCTCTCCGGGTGATTGTTTGATGGCAAATATGTCATTTACTCTCGCCTCTACCTTTTTTGCTCCGGCATGGGCTATTATGAACTTGTCATCCATCTTCTCGAATGTTTCGATCGAGCGTGCAGGCAGTTGCGAATACTAAGTCAACGCGCCCCCGGTGAGGGTTTCTCCGAACTTCTTCAACAAGATGGAGGATACTTGCTCTTTGGCGAGGTCGTTGCCTTTTACTGCAGTGACATAGTGAGTCACATGATCTTCGGGGTCCATTGTGCCGTCGTATATTTTCAGGTATGGCGGAAGGAGCGTGTTGTTCGTCTACTTCTGATGCAACACAAACCCTTGCATATTCTCTGTTCGGCCTTTGAGCGGGTTTGTCGAGAAAACCGGTTAGCGTGTTTGTCAACCACGCCTCGAGAAGCTTTTTCACTGCCGGTCCTCTTCCGTTGTGGAAGTAGAGGCCCCTTTACCGTGTGAGGTCGTAATGCTGCCCTGAGGAGGGGGCGAGCTGTTTTGCCTAGGAGAGGTATTTGGTGTTACATCTTCACCCTCCGTTTTATCGACTTCGTTGATGGTGCGGAGGAGATTGGCGATGAGGTCAGCTATTGCTTTCATCTTTTCCTCTCCGTTGCCTGCCATGTTAGATTTGTGCACACAAGGAAGTATATGGTTTTTGCGTAATTTTTTTAGATCTAGAAGAAACTAAAACTTTAACTAGAAAATTCCCACAGACGGCGCCAAATTGTTTGACCAAAAAGTATGAAACCTTTTGTTAAACTAATTAGATAAGAAGATAATGGGTAAATCCTAGTTAAAGATAATAATTTCTAGATCTGAAACGTGTTTATGCGGATAACGTGGGGATTGCGTTAAGCAGATTTAATGCGATGTATGTTAAATGATATGGTCTTGAATGAGAGAAGAATAATGATTAGCAATAAATATATTAAATGGCATTTAATGTAAATAGAGAGAATGATTCACCCAATATTAAATGAGGTGGATGATTCTTCTTTCTGACAATAATATAAGACAAATGGATATGAGAATATAGGAAACTTTCTCGGATCTGATGCGAGAAATGTGGAATAAACTACAAATCGAATCTATTTGGGTGTAATGTTTGTATTTTTCTAGAGAGTCAACTTTTCAAGAGAGTTCTTATCATATAGAATATTACATGTCCATTTTCTTCTCTCTACCTTTCTCTTTATATGGGACATGCCTCTAACCTAACTTAAAGTACAGGTACAGAGAATATCCAATGGAATATTCTCCTAAATATCTTAGAAACTAGTCGTTATTTGCTGGTCTGAAAACTCGACCTCGGCCCCGAATAACAGCTCGCCAACAAGTTCCTTAATCTTGTGTACGACCTCAGCCTAGTCGCCTTTTAAGAATCTATCCTTGTGCCAAGTTCCCTTAGTCAAATTTTAACCCATACAATCATGACATCTACATAAAACAACACGCAACTATGAACTATCCATATCATTTATCTCTCATTTTAGCTTTTCCTTAGAGAGTTCTGATGATTTTGCCTTTTAAGTCGCCATATCAATATTTGATTTACAATTTCACCTTTATTTGATTTCTAATCGTTCTTAGTATTTCTCCCATCTGCATTAAGTCTTTTGGGTAATTGGTCCCCAATCGGTAGAGTGATTACACACTTATTATACTTCTTTCGATCCACTTTAATTAATTTTTTTTGCTGTTTTCACAAATATTAAGGAATCTACCTTTTAGCATTAATTAACAGTGAAATTGACCATATTAACCTTAATTTGTTCATTGAAAGTATAATAAATACTCCTAGGCTCTTTACTCCAAGGACAACTTTTAAAAAAAGAAATTAATTCGTTCTTAATATCTAAAAATATCAAATATTGTGGCCCACAAAAAAGCCAAAAAATCAATTAAAGTGGACCTGGAAAGAGTACGTAATTATACACATATTATCCATAAATTTTCCATCTATTTTATATCTATCTACTATTTTTAGTTAAAGCAACGGGGGACGGCTATATCATGAATCAAATTGAAGATTAAAATCGATTTAGCAACTACAAGAAACCAGTTCACGTTAACTGCTAATATATTAATTTCTTAAATTTAGACCTATTATGTTATGCACAATTTTAGAGGTACTCTTCAANCTAAAGTCTGTTAGTTTTACTTACGACGACGTTAGTTTATTACCTGAGTATCTTTTATATCACGTCTATTCACAAAACACAGAGAGTAATAGACAGAGAATTAATTGTTGATAGTAATTGACAAAAGTTATGTAATTTTCACGATAACGTCAAACAAATGCGGATGTACTTGAAGAACAAATTTGGACCATAAGATAGTTAAAAGTTAGTTACACACATAAACTTTGTCGGTGATATAGTACTCTACTGTACTTGTCATAAGTGCAGAAAAATTCTGGTTTTAATTACCGCTTGTCTTTTCATGGCTTCTTTACTACTGTTTTTATTTTTCAATGGTGAATAATATTCATAAGGTAAGGTAAAGTCTGCATATACACTACCCACACTACCCTTTTCAAATTTTGTTAGTAAGCTGTAGTGGTAAAATAATACTGGAGAATATATAAAATAACATAAACAGAAATATAAATAAAACAAAGGTTAATCCGAGCCCACTGAATTCACAGTGTTTCCTTAAGAAATTTAATCCCCTCCTAGTACCCAAGGTTATGGATTATTTCCTCCCATGATAGAACGAATTACACACTGGTGTAGTGGTACTTCAAATCCCAGTGTTTCAGCAAACACAAAGTTCGGTAGCAAATCACACTTACTGTAGCTTTCTTAGAAGTTAAAAAGTATGCAGAAGAAAGGAGGAGAAACTCAGAAATTCGTATAGAAATTCTGAGAGAATGAACTTGTATTTATAGTCAATGTTGGGCTGAAATCTGAAGAGGTGCAACTCATCAGAATGGCTGTTTATGCAAAACGGCCACAACATAAATGCCATAACATAAATTTCTATTTACTCAACAATAAACAGGGAAAATTGAAGAGGGTAGTTAATTTTCTGTTACCAAAATAGAAAACGGAAAAATGGAAACGGTTGGATTTTAATATTAATATATTTAATAATATTTCTGTTAATATTTACTATTAACAAACAAATTCAATCGATCATTTGACCAAATCCGAAGCCGAGCGAACGACGACGACAACGACGCGAGGCTTGCCTTCTTCTCAACTCTTTAAGAGCTAGAAGAAGAGCAATTGCTTATATGCCCATTAAAAACATCTTCCTCTTCCAATATGGGACAATGTCGCTTTGTCAAGGGGGGAAACTTAAAATTTTACTTAAAAATTTCATTTCCCTCCATTTCCTATTCACCCTCTTTTAAGCATTTAATATACTTAAAATCCGAACAATCCCCCACATGAATGGGAATGGCTATATCACGGAAATATGCATGAAAACTGTGTGATTCGCAAGCAAGGATTAATTGCATCTGGATAAGTAAGTTCCCTTTGAACTTTCCGTAGTGAACTTATGTCGGATATACTCGGTCAATCGGTAGATTTGATATCTTTGAACCGTCGAACTTTGGTGTATACCTAGACAACCATAAGTCACACAACCAACCCTTAACTGTCTTTGGTTCTCATTGTTGTGTTCGTTTCAGCCATGAACACCGCCTGGTTTCATAAGTGCGTAGAGAACTGGCCTTACAAAGTTCTCCTTGAAGCGGCTAACACTTCACACTTACATAGGTGATTCCTAAATGTGTCATCCCGTAGATACACTATTTGATATACCCCGTATCAAATTTAGAAATCATTAAAAAGCCTTAATGCTTTATCCTTGGTACTGAACATTGTCTCATCACGAGAATGGACCAAAAGTTTAGTTGACAATGTTGAACCGTCATTAATGACTTTGTTTGATCTCCTTGAACCTAGATCTTGGGATCTCCAGTCTTCTAGGTAGAGTTACCGCCACTATGACTTGTTCTCGGCCACAGTCCCATTCCCTTTGATGACTTCTCAACTACCTCTCTAGTTAGGCCTTTTGTAAGTGGATCCGACACATTATCACTTGACTTTACATAGTCAATCGTGATAATTCCTCTAGAGAGTAATTGTCTAACGGTTTTATGTCTTCGTCGTATATGGCGAGACTTACCGTTATACATAACGCTCCCAGCCCTTCCAATTGCCGCTTGACTATCACAATGTATGCATATTGGTGCCAACGGTTTGGGCCAAAATGGAATATCTTCCAAGAAATTTCGGAGCCATTCAGCTTCTTCACCGGCTTTATCCAAGGCTATGAACTCAGCCTCCATTGTAGAGCGGGCAATACAAGTTTGTTTGGATGACTTCCAAGATACCGCTCCTCCACCAATAGTGAATACATATCCACTTGTGGACTTGGAATCAGTTGATCCGGTGATCCAATTTGCATCACAGTATCCCTCAATGACCGCAGGATATTTATTGTAGTGCAAAGCAAAGTCCTGGGTATGTACTAAATACCCCAAAACTCGTTTCATGGCCATCCAATGAGATTGGCCTGGATTGCTCGTATATCGACTCAATTTACTTATAGCACAAGCTATATCTGGTCGTGTACAATTCATGATGTACATTAAGCAACCCAACACACGAGCATAATCCAATTGTGATATGCTCTGGCCTTTGTTCTTTGCTAATGCAAGATTCACATCAATTGGAGTCTTTGCAACTTTAAAGCCCAAGTGCTTGAATTTTTCAAGTACTGTCTTAATATAATGAGATTGTGACAATGCTAGACCTTGAGAAGTCTTATGGATCTTAATTCCCAGAATTAAATCAGCAACTCCCAAGTCTTTCATATCAAACTTGCTAGTTAGCATACGCTTAGTAGCATTTATGTTGGCAATGTCATTACTCATTATGAGCATATCATCCACATATAAGCAAACAATGACTATGTGATTTGGAACATTTTTAATGTACACACATTTATCACATTCATTTATCTTAAATCCATTTGACAACATTGTTTGGTCAAATTTAGCATGCCATTGTTTGGGTGCTTGTTTTAATCCGTAAAGGGACTTAACAAGTCTACAGACCTTCTTTTCTTTACCTGGAACCACAAACCCTTCAGGTTGTTCCATGTAAATTTCTTCCTCCAACTCTCCATTTAAGAAGGCCGTCTTAACATCCATTTGATGAATTTCAAGACCATAAACTGCAGCTAACGCTACTAACGTTCGTATGGATGTAATTCTTGTAACTGGAGAGTATGTATCAAAATAGTCAAGACCTTCTCGTTGTCTATACCCTTTGACCACAAGTCTTGCCTTATACTTGTCAATAGTGCCATCATCTTTCATTTTCCTCTTAAAGATCCATTTAGAACCCAACGGTTTATTTCCAGGAGGAAGATCAACCAATTCCCATGTATGGTTGTTCAGTATGGATTCTATTTCACTATTGACCGCCTCTTTCCATAACAATGATTCCGAAGAAGACATAGCTTCTTTAAATGTTTGAGGCTCATTTTCCAATAAGAAAGTCACAAAATCTGGTCCAAATGAAGTAGACGTTCTTTGACGTTTACTACGTCTTGGATCCTCTTGGTTAAGTGTACTTTCTTTTGTTTCTTCCCGGGGTCGTTTAGATCCTTCACCAATCGACTCACATTCCTTTTTATACGGATATATATTTTCAAAGAACTCAGCATTATCTGATTCTATAACCGTATTATTATGAATGTCGGGATTTTCTGATTTATGAACCAGAAATCGATATGCTTTACTATTAGTCGCATATCCTATGAAAACACAATCAACGGTTTTCGGTCCTATTTTTACCCTTTTGGGTTTAGGAACTTGCACTTTTGCCAAACACCCCCACACTTTAAAATAATTCAAGTTGGGCTTCCTTCCTTTCCATTTTTCATATGGAATGGATTGTGTTTTGCTATGGGGTACTCGATTTAGTATTCGGCTAGCCGTAAGAATGGCTTCCCCCCACAAGTTCTGTGGCAAACCAGAACTTATCAATAATGCGTTCATCATCTCCTTTAATGAACGATTCTTTCTTTCTGCAATCCCATTGGATTGGGGCGTGTAAGGGGCCGTTGTTTGATGAATAATTCCATATTCTAAACATATTTGTTCAAAAGGAGATTCATATTCACCACCCCTATCACTTCTTATCATTTTGATTTTCTTATTAAGTTGCGTTTCAACTTCATTTTTGTATTGCTTGAATGCGTCTATTGCTTCATCTTTACTATTAAGTAAGTAAACATAGCAATATCGAGTACTATCGTCAATAAAAGTTATGAAATACTTTTTTCCACCGCGAGATGGTATTGACTTCATGTCACAAATATCTGTGTGAATTAAGTCTAAAGGATTTGAATTCCTTTCAACCGACTTATAAGGATGTTTAACATACTTAGATTCCACACATACTTGACATTTTGATTTGTCACATTCAAACTTGGGCAATACTTCCAAATTAATCATTTTCCGTAAGGTTTTATAATTGACATGACCCAAACGTATATGCCATAATTCATTTGACTCAAGTAAGTAAGACGAAGCTGAAATTTTATTATTATTCTCAACAACCATTACATTCAGCTTGAAAAGGCCCTCAGTGAGGTAACCTTTTCCTACAAATATTTCGTTCTTACTTATTACAATCTTATTGGAAACAAAAACACACTTAAAACCATTCTTAACAAGAAGTCCAGCAGAGACTAAATTCTTCCTAATCTCGGGAAAATGAAGGACGTTGTTCAAAGTCACCACCTTGCCAGAAGTCATCTTCAAAAAGATCTTCCCACATCCTTCAATCTTAGCGGTTGCAGCATTTCCCATAGAAAGAGTCTCTTCGGGTCCAACAGGAGCATATGTTGCAAAGGCTTCCCTAACAGCACAACATGGTGAGTGGCTCAAGAATCAATCCACCACTCCTTAGGATTTCCCACCAAGTTGCATTCAGAAAGCATAACACACAAGTCATCAACATCTTCATGCTTTTCAACCATGTTTGCTTGACCCTTTTTCTTGTCTTTCTTCGGAGCATGGCACTCCGTAGATTTGTGTCCAGCTTTTTCACAGTTGTAGCAAGTTCCGTTGAACCACTTTTGCTTGGGTTGCTTTTCGGTCCAGAAGCCTGCTTCCTCTTTCTCTTATTTTGAGAAGTATCCTCAACAATGTTTGCTCCCATTATTGTTGAGTTTCCACGGCCTCTCTTTTCAGCAGCTTTATTGTCCTCTTCGATTCTCAACCGAACAATGAGATCTTTAAGGGACATCTCCTTGCATTTGTGTTTTAAGTAGTTTTTGAAGTCCTTCCACAAAGGATGCAACTTCTCAATCATCGCTGCTACTTGGAATGCTTCATTGATGACAAGTCCTTCAATGAAAATTCTGTTAGTAAAATTACTAAAATTACTACTTTCAACATTAGTATTAATTCGATTTATACCTTCAGCAAGGAGATCGTGAATAATCACTTGCAATTCCTGGACTTGGGTAATAACAGACTTGCTATCTACCATTTTGTAGTCCAAAAATTTAGCGGCAACGAATTTCTTCAACCCGACATCTTCAGTTTTGTATTTCTTTTCAAGCGCAGTCCACAATTCTTTTGACGTATCCACGCCACTGTAGACATTATACAAATCGTCCTCCAGTCCGCTAAGAACATAATTCTTGCAAAGAAAATCAGAATGCTTCCACGCCTCAATCACGAGAAAGCGTTCATTCTCTGGAGTTTCATCGGGCAGAACAGGAACATCTTCCTTGATGAACTTCTGCAGACTTAAAGTAGTCAAGTAGAAGAACATCTTCTGCTACAAATGCTTGAAATCTAACCCGGAAAATTTTCCGGGTTTCTCCGCCGGTGCCAACACCGGTGTTCGGCTTGTTGATGCATTGGCAGTCACCATTGGAATAGCCTAGTTCCCGTTATCGTTATTCATTTCTGTAAAAGAATGACACAAACAAACTTTAAAATCATGTAAATTTTAATCTCCAACGGAGTAAAAAACCACAAAGGTTTTAAACTCCAAAACAGTGAATATAACACAAATACAGAATACAAATTAAATTCCTTAAGCTTGTTAGTAAGTTGTAGTTGTAAAATAATACTGGAGAATATAAAATAACATAAACAGAAATATAAATAAAACAAAGGTTAATCCAAGCCCACTGAATTCACGGTGTTTCCTTAAGGAATTTAATCCCCTCCTAGTACCCAAGGTTATGGATTATTTCCTCCCAGGATAGAACGAATTACACACTGGTGTAGTGGTACTTCAAACGCTAGTGTTTCAGCGAACACAAAGTTCGATAGCAAATCACACTTACTGTAGCTTTCTTTGAAGTTAAAAGTATGCAGAAGAAAGGAGGAGAAACTCAGAAATTCGTATAGAAATTCTGAGAGAATGGACTTGTATCTATAGCCAATGTTGGGCTGACTTCAGAATGACTGTTTATGCAAAACGGCCACAACATAAATGCTATAACATAAATGGCTATTTACTCAACAATAAAGAGGAAAAATAAAGAGGAAAAATTGAAGAGGGTAGTTAATTTTCTGTTACCAAAATAGAAAACGGAAAAATGAAAACGGTTGGATTTTAATATTAATATTCTTGGATTTAATATTAATATTTTGTTATTAAAAAAGGTATTTAATAACATTTCTGTTAATATTTACTATTAACAAACAAATTTGGTCCAAAAAATTAATCAATCAATCATTTGACCAAATTCGAAGCCGAAGCCGAGCCGAGCGATGACGACGGCGCGAGGCTTGCCTTCTTCTCAACTCTTTAAGAGCTAGAAGAAGAGAAATTGCGTATATACCCATTAAAAACCTCTTCCTCTTCTAATATGGGACAATGTCCCTTTGTCGAGGGGGGGGGGGACTTAAAATTTCACTTAAAAAATTTATTTTCCTCCATTTCCTATTCACCCTCTTTTAAGCATTTAATATACTTAAAATCCCAACAAATTCCACTTGGTATCTCGTTGTTTTTGTGGTTGAATAGGTGGTAAAGGGGCTAGTCAATCATTATGCGAGGAGGTGGTAGAAGTGTTTAACCAAAATGTGTTAAGCCTTTTGTTTAACTAATTAATGAAGAAAATAAAGGATAAATCCAAGCCAAGAATAATTAACTCCCATAACCATGGGCAGTTATGGGTGACTTTAATTATGTCCTGCATAAAGAAGAAAGGATTGGGAGTCCAATTACAATGGCAGAAATAATAGAATTCAAGGAATGTGTGACAAAATGTACATTGCAAGATATGAAATCTTCAGGGGCATTTTATACATGGAATAATAAGCAGGGAAGTGCAGATAGAGTATATAGCAGGATTGATAGGGTGCTGATCAATAATGACTGGATATTAGCAACGCCAGATTCAGAGGTATTCTACAGGAATGAAGGGACCTTTGATCACTGCCCTGCAATAATCAGATGGGCTGAAGATCAAAAGAAGCAACACATATTCAGATACTTTAATATGTGGAGCATTGCACCAAAATATAAGGAGACAGTGAAGCAAGGCTGGAAAACTAATAAAAGGGGGACCAAAATGTATGAGCTAGTGGGAAGTTAAACAACTTGAAGGGAAAACTACAGCAGCTGAACAAGCAGAAATTCAGTCAAATAGAGAAGAAAGCTGACCAAGCATATGAGGAACTACTGCAATGTCAACAAAGGTTGCAGCAAACACCTCTGAATCTGAAACTACAGAAGGAAGAAGCAAGACTAATCAGGAAAACAAAAAGATTGAAGGAGGCAAAACATCAATTTTTGAGACAGAAAAGCAAAGTGCAATGGCTGGAACAAGGGGACCTAAATACCAAATATTTTCACAGCATGATGAAAGCAAGAAGGAATATGAACAGGGTGTTCTCTATTACAGATGCAGAAGGAATTTATAGAACTGAAGTGGATGAAATTGCTAAAGCCTTTACTGTTTTTTATACAAATCTGTTGGGCACCAGCAATAGGCAAATGGAACATGTCAATAGCAGACTGATACAACAAGGGCCAATAGTTACAGAAAGACAAAGAAGCATGTTAGAGGAAGAATTTACAGAAAAGGAGGTAAAAACAGCTTTGTGGGCAATCAATTGAGACAAATCACCAGGTCCAGATGGTTATGGAAGTAAGTTTTTCAAGGATAGCTGGGAGATCATAGGAAAAGATGTAGTTGATGCTATAATGGAATTTTTTAGAACATTGGAGATGCTAAAAATACTAAATCATACAGTGATCACAATCATCCCAAAGAGCTCCCATGCAACTAATGTGGGTGATTACAGACCTATTGCAGGATGTAACACAATATATAAGGTGATATCAAAGATGTTGTGTAATAGGTTGAGAGAGATATTACCTACACTGATTGCTGCTAACCAGAGTGCATTCATAGCAGGAAGAACAATAGTGCAAAATGTACTGATATGTCAAGATCTGGTAAGGCTGTACAAGAGGAAGAACACTACTCAGAGCTGCTTAATCAAGATTGACTTGAGGAAAACATATGATAGTATAGAGTGGTCGTTTGTGGAAGAGATGCTTCATGCAATGAACTTCCCTCAGAGATTCATAAAATGGATAATGGCTTGTATAACTACTACCAAATACAGTATTGCAATAAATGGAGGACTATATCGGAACATAGTAGGGAAAAGAGGTTTAAGACAAGGGGATCCCATTTCACCCTTACTTTTTGTAATTTGTATGGAGTACCTAACTAGAATTTTGAACAAAGTAGCTGATATGAGGGAGTTTGGGTATCATACGAAATGCAGGGGAATCAAACTGAATCACTTATGCTTTGCAGATGACATTTTGTTATTCTGTAAAGGAAATTACCAATCAGCAATGTTAATGTTAAGGGGTCTTCAATCTTTCACAAATGCATCAAGAATGACTACTAATGCAGGAAAATCTAACATATTCAGTGCCAACATGCCAAAGCAAGAACTGGAAGACTTATGTGAGGCTACAGGATATCAGAAAGGGACATTACCATTCAGATATTTGGGGGTTCCAATTTCAGCAAAGAAGTTATCAAGCCTGGATTGTGAAGTCTTAATTGACAAGACGACTGCCAGAATAAGGACATGGAGTTCGAGGAACATGTCTTATGCTGGAAGGGTACAACTAATTAATGTTGTACTGCTACATGTCCATACATACTGGTCATCAATTTTTATTCTACCCAAAGCTGTGATGGAAAAGTTGATTGCAATATGCAGGAACCACTTGTGGGATGGAAAGGAACAGACAAACAAAGCTCCTTTGATAGCATGGGATATAGTTTGCAGGCCAAAATGCAAAGGAGGGCTAGGAATAAAGGATTGTTTAGTATGGAATGAGGCTGCTATTGCAAAATATATTTGGAATATAGCTCAAAAGGCTGACAACTTGTGGGTGAAATGGGTGAATCATGTGTATATTAAAGAAGCTAGCTGGGATCACTATGTACCACCAAATGATTGTAGTTGGTACTGGAAGAGAATTTGTAATATAAAGGAAAAGTTCAAGGATGGATATAGAGGAAATGACTGGCAACATATAGGAGGGAGGTATTCCATACAAAAAGGATACCAATGGAGGAAAGGGGAGCTGAATAAATGGCCCTAGGCTAGGTGGATCTGGAACTCTGTCAATGTCCCAAAACATAGCTTTATTAGCTGGTTAGCAGTTCACAAATGACTGCTGACAAGAGAAAGACTGGAAAAAATAGGTATATGTACAGAAACAAGATGTGAAATTTGTGGAGGAAGCAAGGAAACAATTCAACATTTGTACTTCGAGTGCCAGTTTTCAAAGGAATGCCTGAAAATTCTGCTGGAATGGCTGGGACTGGAGACTAAGGAACCAGACATTGCTGGTATATGGAGAAGACTGACGAGAAGGGTTAGAGGTAAAATGTGCAGGAAAATTATTATAGCAGCTATGGCAGCACTAGTATACAAGATATGGCAGGTCAGAAATGATGCGATATGGAATAACAAAGTTGCCCAACCGCAGGTGATATGTCGATAGATACAGCAGGAATGTAAAATACGAGTGAATATGCAAAGTATTAGGAAAGAGGGGAATGGTAGAAGGAAATAGAGGATTTATTTTCTAGCATATCATAGAGGGGAGTTAGATAGGGATTTTTGCGACTAGAAGTACTTATTCTTCTGGTCTGTACAGCTTAAAGAAAATTGTATACTTGGTTGGTTGTGAGATTAATAATATTTTTTCCTTACACCAAAAAAAAAGAATAATTAACTCCAGATCTAAGTGCAATGAATAAAAGAATGAGATATAGCAAAGCTTACAGCTCGACTCAAGATTATTAAAAGATATCAAGCATGATAATAAACTTACATCTTTGGAGTATCGTTCCGTAATGTAAGAGCAAAGAAGGAAAAGAAGGAATGCCATTGATGACTATGAGATCTATATTTATTGATTTGACAATCATAATTTCAGTGATGTGTATTTGCTATCTAAACCCTTTTCTTGGTCTTCCGTTCTTTTCCCTTTTTTCTCCTTGCCCCATATATATATTATCAGTATTCTCTTTTATCCATTGGTCCTTAACTAGCGTACTTTTGTCCATCGCTCAATCTTGGCGGTGGCCGAGGTATTCGTTATTATTACATCTAGTGGGTACGACCACGGCTTAGTTAACCTCTTCCCATTCCTATTAGCGCTATTCCACGTGTGGTCAGATTTTGACCCATACAAGAAGGAAGGAATGCAAAGTTAAATTACAGATGGTCTAATATCTAAAATGCACGTTACACAAATGAAAGCAATAACAAATTATCCTTTTGTACTATTGTATTGGGAAAAAAACTGAATTTATATTGAAGGTAACGTGGCATGACACGTGGACTGGTCAAATGGTCAAAACATGATGATCAATTGAGGGGCACGGGCAATATCAGATACGAGGAGAAGAAAGTTAAATAGGCACGAGAAGCTATTCAAAAGATACGAGTCTCGTATCTATTTAACTTAATTAAAGTCAGGAGGTCAGAAGGAATTGAAGATATGAATCTGAGGGCATAAAGGAGTCTAAATTCAGTATTAAATGACAAACACGTTAGAGAATCAATATTGATTCTGAATGATTGTGTAACGTTTCATTTAATGTCATTTAATGCTCATAATTGCCTCTTTAAGGCTAAGGTGTTATACATTTTCCTAAGAAAGACAACTATAAAAGGAGGAGGTCTCATCATTTGTAAGGACACGAAATATCATTGCGATTACATTGGAATACAAACTTATTTACTGCATTTATTATCCACAAAAAATTTCTTATTCTTTTCGTCTCCTGATTATCAGTAACCCGATTTTTTCTCTTAAATTCTAGTTTTAACCGAAATTTTATTTTTTGGTTAAACAAATTGGTTCCGTTACCGGGAATCTGATAATCAAGCATATCTCAATCTAATTTTCCTGATTGCGTCAATCATGTCAAACAACAATGACAACACTCAAGGAAACCCAGAAATTCAGATAATCCAACAACTTCAGGGAGATTCCCCACAAGGCTCTCCACAAGGTTCTCCACGAGGCTCCCCACGACGATCTCGTGAAGGCACTCCTGATGGATCTTATACAGATGGACAGGCTCAATTTGAAAACGTTGAAACCATGAATGAGGCTCTGCAAAAAACTTATCGCTGCTCAAGTTAATAACTCTCTCCAAGCTTTTGTTCGTCAATTGCCTGCTGTTTCACCTACATCTGCTCCAAACAACAACACTTTGGAGAATCCTCGTTCAGGATTGTTTAATTCTGGCACCGGTGGAACCCCTAGTGAAACACAAGAGAGAGACCCAGGTAATCCAGTTAATTCTGATTTACAAAGTCTAGTACTAACCTTACAGAAACAGCTTAAGGAGCAAAATGAATGCATAGAGCAAATACCTGGAGTACCACCCGTGATCAAGGGCGTGGATATAGATAAATATTCCCAACAACCATGGAAGCCAAGTGCTGCTCCCCTTCCAATTCCAAAGAAGTTTAAAATGCCTGATATTCCAAAGTATGATGGTACATCAGACCCACGAGATCACGTTACTGCATTCACAACAGGTGTCAAGGGCAATGATTTGACTAAGCAAGAAATTGAGTCGGTCTTGGTCAAGAAATTCGGTGAAACACTCACTAAAGGAGCCCTAACATGGTATTCCCTTTTACCTGAAAATTCTATAAATTCGTTTGCTGAGCTTGCAGATTTATTTATCAAAGCACACTCGGGAGCTCAAAAAGTTGAAAAGCGAATGGAAGATATCTTCAAAATCAAGCAAGGAGACTCAGAGTTGCTTAGAGAGTTCGTAGATAGATTTCAACGGGAAAGAATGACGCTGCCACGAGTACCTGACAATTGGGCAGCCATAGCCTTTGCTAGTAATTTAAATGAGAAGAGTTCAGAAGCCACGAGGCGACTCAAAGAAAGCCTTCGAGAATTCCCAGCAACAACGTGGAATGATGTCTACAACAGATACAGCACAAAGATGAGGATTGAAGAAGACATTATTTTACGAAATAAAACAGAAGAAAAGGTAAGTTCAAAGCGTGTGGAAAATGAAAAGAGATCCGGTAAAAATAGGTACGAGCCATACATGGGACCTGCGGGAAAGGACTCACGGTCAAGACAAGATAATCAAAGGTACGATCACAGACCTAGGAACAGGGAATCATGCTCCTCATCAAGGTTTGGGAACGATCGAAACACACGCGGGTCACGAGACGATGATGGAAGTTTGAAGGCTAGATTTGGTGGGTATAATTTCAATGTCACTACCTCCGAGCTCGTAGCTGTTTTGAGGAGCATGGGGGATAAGGTACGGTGGCCGAAAGAGATGCGGTCAAATCCCAATAAGCGCAATCCAGATTATTGGTGCGAATTTCACAATGATCACGGGCATAAAACTTCAGAATGTAGATTTTTGCAAAGTGAAGTGGACCATCTATTGAAGCAAGGGTATCTCACTGAGTTATTTAGTGAGAAAGGTAAGCAAGCCTACATGAAAATAGGCAAGAACACCAAAGCCCCCATCACCAAAACGAACCGTGAAATGTTATAAAGTGGGGGTAGAAGATAGTTTATGTAAGTAACATATACGGCTTCAAATAAAGTTTCCAAAGTAACAATCACACACGGGAAGCGAGTACGACAGACCTTAGAAGATGAAAGTATCACTTTTGATGATGCAGATATAGAAGGAGTGATCACCCCCCACAACGATGCACTGGTATTATCTTTACTTGTACATGACATTAATGTAAAACGAGTTTTGATTGATCCAGGTAGTTCTGTAAATATTATACTACTAAGGGTATTACAGGGAAATGCAAGCTGAAGACAAAATGATACCGAAGGCGCATACCTTGTCCGGGTTCGACAATTCAAGTGTAGTAACAAAAGGAGAGGTAGTTCTAACAACTTTTGCTGCAGGTGTTGTTAAAGAAACTAAATTTCAGATAGTAGATATGGAAATGGCTTATAACATGATCATAGGGAGACCTTGGATCCATGATATGGATGCTGTCCCATCAACCTTACATCAAGTTATTAAATTCCCATCTCCATGGGGAATATGCCAAATCAGAGGGGATCAACAAACATCTAGAAGCATCAATTCCGTTGCAGATTCAGTTGTTGATGGTGGAGACAAATAGCAATTACAGAATTTAGGTAAAGGTAACACGGAGTCACCCTCACCTGGTCAACATCAAACAGATGTGGATTCAAGACCTGACACCATTCAAGAACCGGAAGAGAACGAAAATATCAAAACAACGATAGAAGAGCTAGAGGTTGTGGTGTTATTTATACATTGGCCCGAGAGGAAAGTACACATAGGAGCTAATCTTAGCCCGGAGGTAAAACGTGAATTGATTGAATTTTTAAAAGCTAATGCAGACTATTTTGCTTGGTCCCATTCTGACATGACAGGGATACCATCGGAAGTTATGACTCATAAGTTGAATGAAGATGCATCATTTCCTCCCGTCAAGCAAAAGAAAAGAAAGCAAGGAACATTCAAAAATAAGGTGATTCAAGAGGAAGTTCAAAAGCTACTAAATATTGGTTCAATTCGTGAGGTAAAATATCCTAACTGGTTAGCTAATACTCTTGTAGTTCCTAAGAAGAACGGTAAGTGGCAAGTCTGTGTAGATTACACAGACCTTAATAAAGCCTATCCAAAATATTCCTTTCCTTTACCGCACATAGACCAGTTAATTGATGCTACTGCAGGGCATGAGCTATTAAGTTTTTTAGATGCATATTCAGGCTATAATCAAATCAACATGGATCCAGGTGATGAAGAAAAAACTTCTTTTATAACAGACAGGGGGACTTACTGTTACAAGGTAATGCCTTTCGGTCTTAAGAATGTAGGTGCAACGTATCAAAGGTTAGTCACCCAAATGTTTCAAGAACATTTAGGTAAAACCATGGAAGTATATATAGATGATATGCTAGTTAAAACTCAACATTTAGAAGATCATATATCGCACTTATCTGATACGTTTAAAATTTTACGAGAATATAATATGAAGTTGAATCCAGAAAATGTGCATTTGGAGTGGCATCAGGAAATTTTTTAGGTTTTCTTGTTTCTAACCATGGAATTGAAGTAAATCCTGCACAGATTAAGGCCATTGAAGAAATTCCAGATGTCCTTACAAGTAAAAAAGAAGTTCAAAGGCTAACTGGAAGAATTGCAGCTCTGGGGAGATTCATTTCCAAGTCTTCAGAAAAATGCTTCAAATTTTTCTCAGCTTTGAAGAAACAGGATCATTTTGAATGGAACGAAGATTGTCAGCAAGCACTTAAGAATCTGAAAGTATATTTATCAAAACCACCGTTGTTGGCGAAACCAAAGGTAGGAGAGAAGTTACTCATCTATCTTGCCGTGTCAGAAGTGGCGGTAAGTGCTGTTTTAGTCCGGGAGGATCAAGGTAAGCAATCTCCCATCTATTATGTAAGCAAGTCTTTGCTAGATGCAGAAACACGGTACCCGCAAC